AGACAGCGCTTCAAATTAGTAATTGTGGCTTCAGTGAGGAATCAGTGACTTTATACCCTGCAAAAGCCCCATCACAGCACAGTTCATTCCTCATTATGTCACACTGTGTGAATCTTTCAGTACATTGGCATGCTGAGCTGAAAAGGCAAACATCGATATTGGGTTATCTTCCTGGTGCAGAAAAGCTAGAATGGAGATTAAATTCATTCCCAGTAGAGATGTGGGAATATATTGTTCTTTACCATGTATATGTGTGACCATGTCTGGAAGGTGAATTTTTATATGTGAGAGTGGGTGGTGTGCCTATGTATATATGTATATTTGCATAAGATCAAACCAAGCAGTAGAACTTAAGGTAGGCCTTTGCAATTAGGGGTTGGGTCAGTTCTCAATGGCTCTTGCATGAGATAAATTAAGTAGGCTACAACTTACATGCACAGGTGAACAAAGATTAAGATCTATCCATTCATCCCGAGATACTTGGGGTTGTAGCCAGTGTTAGTCTTACTCAGAGTAGATCCATTGAAATTAATGACCATGACTAACTTAGATTCCTTAATTTCAGTGGGTAAAACATAGCTGGATACCCTTCCAAGGGTCCCGCCAGTACTTGCTCAGCATACTGCACACACAGGCACGCAAACACACGCATATATAGCACGATTTGCACTATACAATTAAAGCTGCATCATGCCACTTTAAACAGTCATGGCTTCCCCCTGTTCTTACAGTGGCTACCCAGATCCCTGTGGAAAACCCTTAAGCAAGACCTAAGCCCAAGAGCACTCTCCCCTCCTGCGGTTTACAGTAGCTGGTATTCAGAAGCATTTCTGCCACCAACTATGGAGGCAGAGCTACTACAGGCTAATACTGGGAGGTGTAGTTTGTTAAGGGTTCTGAGAGTTGTTAGGAGGCTACTATTCACAGAGTGGTTTAAGAAATCAGTTCCTCTTCCCAGGACACTTTGGGAAATTGTAGTGCTATGAAGGGTATAGGGGTCTCCTAACAACTCTCAATACCCTTTACAAACTACCGTATTTTTCGCCTCATAGGATGCACTTTTCCCCCTCCAAAAATGAAGGGGAAATGTGTGTGCATCCTATGGGGCGAATGCAGGCTTTCGCTGAAGCCGGGAGAGTGAGAGGCGTCGATGCGCACCGACCCCTCTCGCTCTCCAGGCTTCACGCAGATCTCCGCAAGCCGTGGGAGCCCGCGTCGGGCTCCCGCAGCTTGCGGAGAGTTGCCTGCATGCCGAAGGCTGGGCGTGCTGAAATAAAAATTTTTTTCCTTTATTTCCCCCCCCAAAAAACTAGGTGCGCCTTATGGGACAGTGCGTCCTATAGGGCAAAAAATACGGTACACTGCTCATGATTCCTTGGGGGAATCTGTGACTGCTTAAAGGGATATGATTCTGCTTTAAATGTATAGTGCAGATGGAAAGTAATAGAGACAGCAGAGGGAGAGAAAATACCTGTTTTTGACTGTGAGTGTTATCTGTGGCAGCGATGTGGTCTGGGGTTCAGAACCCGCCATCTTCTATCAAACAGATCTGAAGTGACTGTGCATTATAAGGCTTGAGAGCACATTGTGAATGGGTTCAGATATGTAACTACCTGCTCCTGTGTGTGACTTCTACTCTTAACAAGTAGCACAGTATCAGAGAACATAATTGCAATGTACGGTAGTTCATCCTTCTCCAAAATAGTTGGAATGGGAAGCCAAAATCACTGGCTGCAAAGCATGTTGTGACTTTATGACAGTGGGACTTGACAGCACCCCCACACAGAGACACACAGAAGCACAACATTGTTGGATTTCAGCTCTGCCATGTGCTTTGTGACATCACAGTGAATGTATGGTTGGAATCTCAACCTCAGCTCATTGATCCGAGAATACATAGCAGTAAAAGTTCTCAAAAGTGCTGTAATCCACATTAAGAAGCAGGTTCACCATCTCTGCTCTCACCCACTTCAGTGTATTTTGAACTATGTGACTCCTGCAGTGTCTCAAGAGGAGCACTTTGTGGTCTCCTTGGGCTTGACTCAAAGTAGACAGGAGGAAAATGGGTAGGAGGTGCCTACTGTTTCTTGAAAGGCACAAGGAGGAAGAGCTTTACCCAGTAAGTTCAACCCATCAGTTTTGACTCATTCAGATGAAAGATAAAGAAATATGTTGGGCATCAGGCTAAAAGTTGTAAATGAAGGGCCAGCAGCTAGAACATCTGAACCAAATGCACTCCATGGATGTTCTGTTATCTTCTTAGCAGTTTCCAAACCAATAAGCAAAAAGTAAAAGTAAAAGGAAGGTGCAGTTGAGCATGAAGTATGGCAGCTGGACTTGACAGGTAGTAAGTTGTGAGGGTGAGTTAAGGTCTTAATCCTCCACCAACCCACACGGCCACATTCCATTGGCAAACTGGTCATGTTATTTAACATGGAAGTATAGACCCAAATGGCTTTTCCTTCTGATGATGGCTTCATTCACATGGGAGCTTATTCTGTTTCACCGACATTCCCCTAACTGTTAATTTCTGTGTTATATTTGGGTTTTCACATGACATAAAAGCCACTTCTGGAAACCTAATGGAATACAGTGGAAGCTTTGAGCTCATTTTTGTGTTAACTGGTTCTAGATATAATCCATTTGGAATCCCATTGAAACAGAAAACAGAATTTGGGTCAGTATACCGGTTCTTTACTGCTGTATTCATGGGTGAATCATGGGTAAGGAGTGCCATCAGCTTTGACTGGTGGCCCAACTGTGTCCCTATCTGGACAGGGATGGCCTAATTTCTGTTGTCTGTGCTCTGGTAACATCTAGGTTATATTCAGTGCTATTTTTCTAGAAAAAAAGAGATTCCAGAATACACCACGAACACCTCCTTTGTTCTCCTACAATGGCAATGGTGGCCCATCTGAGAGGTTCTAACTTTGAGGCAGACAACACAAATTAGGCTATCTCTGTCAAGATAGGGACACAGTTGGGACACCAGTTGAAGCTAATGGAAGGCACTCACTCTACGCCAATGAGGCAACCTGAGCCTCAGGTGACAGCAAAGGAACCAGGCGTACCCCCAAGCTACTTACCCACTCCACTCACACTTTCTCAGAACCAGCCCCACCATGAAGCAGAATGAGGCAGCAGAACCCAACGCAGCAAAAATTGCTTGAGGACAGAGCTGTGTGCATCATACAGCCTCCCCTATGTCCCCCTTGCAAGTCTGCTGCTCAGGTGCACTGCCCTGTTATCAGCTGTGGAAAGGTCACAGCTCAGTGATGGGCATGCAGAAGACTCCTGCCTGAAACCATGGTATACTGCTGCCAGTCAGTGCAGACAATACTGGTTGATCTGGCTAAGTAGAAGGCAGCTTCCTGTGTTCCTAAAACATTCCACTAAGGTCCATTTTGATTTGGATTTGCTCAAGCAGATATTTTGGTGCAAATGTTTAGGACTTGGCTGCCAATATGCAATTTAAAGTCAATTCACAGAAATCATGTAATGATAAATCAAGAAGCTTTTGGTGTGTAGTAACCAAAATCTTAAAATCAAGTTTATCATTTGTTTTATTTCCAAAACAAAGGATCTCTCTCAGACTTGTCAACACAACCATTCTGTTTTAAAGTGCTGATTTACAACTAACAGCCAATGTATCCCATTTGTTACATCTCTGTGCTACCTAGAAGGACAGACTATAATTATGTACATTGATTTGAGCAATTATAGAGCTTGATTTTTATTAATCTACTTTTTAACCTACTAGAAAATAGTAAATGGTATATTGCTTATTTACTATATAATTATGTTTTTAGTAATGATTTATGTCAGACTGGATTAGATTGGTGGGATTTAATTAAACACGTAAAGCAGCAATAAAAGTGGGTTTTTTTTAATTAAAACAAAGCTCCTGTTACAATATTCTGGTTGCATAAATTTCTCTTATTAAAATGTCTCCCACACATGTAGCCCTGCTTGCCATAGATAGATAGAACAGTTTAAACTACTGTAGTTATGATGGTATTTTGCCTATGAAAACGTGGTGAAGTACATCCTATCTACGAAGAAGGCTCTGGGTTCAACTCAGGAAGTTGCCTTATGCCAGTTTGGATTGTTAGCCCATCCAGCCCAGAAATGTCTATTCAGTCTGGTACCAGCTCTCCAAGATTTCAGACCTTCCCTTCACCTGCAACCTACCCCTCTAGAAATGTAAACTTTCTGGAAATTCCTTTGCAGGGGACAGCAGACAGAAATGTGTTGTTGTTTTTAATCCACCTGTGAATTGTTTTATTAGACAATTTATGTAAGCAAGAAAGTCTGACTATAGCACCATGTTGACTCTATGCTTTGATTTAGATTTTCGCACCTGCCAATAGGGCTCGCAATATTGATATATCGTCCAAAACTGGTTTGAAGTCTGTATCAGTTTCATAATTTTTGACCTGGCAATATATTGAGAATCATGGTATGTGTATTGTGTGTGGCATGCAAAAATCACAATGTAAGAAAAACTGTGAAGCCAGCCAATGCTTCTACATAGCTCCATTCTTACATCAGACATTGTGATATATCAGTATATCACAATGTTTAGCTGGTGATATATAGCAATGCTGAAAACTAGATATCGCCCAGCCCTATCTGCCAGAATTGGGTCTAAACTAAGCTAACATTACAGTGAAGACTAAATGCAATCTAGTCAAACTGCAAAAACAACTGGGGGGGGGGGAATAGTTGTTTACGAGCAACGTGTTGATTTGTATTTACAACCGGGTTTTTGTAGCAAGTTTAAAGACAGTTGCGGTAAAACTGAAAACCTGGCACAAACCTCTGCAGGTGGTACAGGGACCTCCAGACCTGGAGATAGGAATGTCTGGATCCGGTGGCCCACCTGAATAACTGGCAGCTGGGTATTATGAGTCTGGGCAAGGCTTTCCACTTAAAACTGGTAAGAACAATGTCTTGGTACGAAGAAGAATAATAACTTCTCTCTCTTTTTAAAATTCTAGTCACTATGAACAAGATCGGAACGCACTAAAGAGGAAAGAATGGGAACGGAGAAATCAGGAGGTCCAGCAGGATGAAGACTTCTTTACCTCTGGCTTTAACCTCTTTGGAGAACCCTACAAGGTAAACAAACAACGGAAGCTGTATTCAACATTCATTTCATTTGAAACAGCTCTCCCCACCCTCCGCAATTTCACCAAACATTAATCACACGTTAGTCCCTCAGAGAGGACAGCAGCACTGAGGGCATCCTCTTGGTTTCATGCATTGCAAAATATGCTTCCACAGAAGCGCATTGACTGGTTTAATTATCTGTGGCAATTGGGGGTCCTCTGGGCTGCCACTGGGTTCTTCTGCATGAGATCCACCCAGTGGCTGAAGTACCCTAGTCTGCAAAAGGTTGTTACAACAGCAAGAATAATTAGCACTGAAACAATGGCAGTTCAGTGGCAGTTCCCACTATGGAGATTTCTTGAATATGATATCACTGCAAGACAGCCGTGCGAGTTGACCGTCGAGACCCTGCTTTCGCTGAGGTGTTCAACCTGTGACTGGGCTGTGCCATTTCAGGTTGTGTGTTGGGGGCTAAGGCTTGTGTAGATAAATGTTCCTTCTCTCAGAATGCAGAAAACTTTTTCTTCTGTATGAAAAGGTATAGCCCAGAAATGGGTTTACTAGTGATATCTACAGAATATACAGACATGCCAGAAGCCTTTGTTCTCCCTGATGCATATCTTTGGAATTCTGCAGTCAGGAAAGGAGGGGCTTGTGTGGTATAGAGAGCCAGTGTGGTATAGTGGTTAAGAGCAGTAGTCTCGTAATCTGGGGAACCAGGTTCGCGTCTCCGCTCCTCCACATGCAGCTGCTGGGTGACCTTGGGCTAGTCACACTTCTCTGAAGTCTCTCAGCCCCACTCACCTCACAGAGTGTTTGTTGTGGGGGAGGAAGGGAAAGGAGAATGTTAGCCGCTTTGAGACTCCTGAAGGGGAGTGAAAGGCGGGATATCAAATCCAAACTCCTCCTCCTCCTCTCCTCCTCCTCCTCCTCCTCCTCCTCCTCCTTCTTCTTCTTCTTCTTCTTCTTCTTCTTCTTCTTCTTCTTCTTTTATATTTTCCCAGTTAAAACAAAAAAACCTACCCCACCACAAACTAAATTTAAATAAGACTCCCAGAAGGCACCTGAAATAATTTATTTATTTACAAGGTTTTTTAAAATAATAATAATGTTTTTATTATTATCACTTTTCATTAAAGACTGAGGATGATGGTTCTTTGAATTTATATCTTACTTTCCCCCTCTCCCCTCAAACCTTTCACAGGAATATAAATGTCATATAAAGGGAAGTGTGTTGCTCATTAAATTGCTGTTGTGAATGTATACCCCAGTATCCGGAACTCTTGCCAGAACCCATAGCAAAATCCAAGAAATATAAAACTAGCAGAACAATAATGAGCAATACTGAGAGAATCTCTGTGAAAACGAGCTCCTTAGCCCATGCAAGTAAACTCTGGATTGAATCCTACCAAAATCATCCTCCCCTGGACCTGCTCAGTTTTCTTGCTCATTAGTAAATTATGCAGGCTCCTCAGCATAAAGATCTTAGTTGAAAAAGACTGTTCTGTCACATACCATTTCACCAATGCTTATTTCTCCTCTCCCCTGGCCCCACTGCTGTTTTGGCTGCTGCTTCTTCTTCTTCTTCTTCTTCTTCTTCTTCTTCTTCTTCTTCTTCTTCTTGCCACTTAAGGAAATGTTCGCATTCATGTAATCTCAAGTCCTCACCCGCATCATATAGCAAGATCTCATCTTGTCATGAAATGGTGTATCATCATTATGTTTGCTAGATGATCCCTGATTGGTTCATATCACTCGTCAGGCTAATCCAGGTGGAAGCAATGGTATCGAGGGAAATAGTGTTGAAGCAGTAACCACCAGGCAAAACAATGGAACTGGACAGGATTGGCAGGGCTGGAGGTGGGGAGGAGAGAATGTGAATCTGTTCACGCAGCCTAAGTGGCTTTATGCAGGAATGACAACCCACTAGTATCAATCTGAATTTTTTACTGGAAAACACTTGGCATATCCTGCCACCTCCACCACTTCCAAACTGGCACACAATCCCTAGATGGTTAAGAAGGTATACACCTCATGCGGAAAAACAATTCTTCCTGAAGCAAAGGGGGAAACTCTCTCTCTCTCTTTTACTGTCATAACTATCCAAAGCTGTCTTTTGGGAGAATGGTTGAAAATGTACAGCATATCAGCAGGGTAGCAGAGCCTCTTCTGAAAATCCTCCAAGGGACTTCCTTGCCTGTGATTTTCATCACCAAGGGATGTTCCCCATTTGACTGTCTCTGCTGCTTTGATGATCACCCAAAAGCATTCCCTGAAGAATTCAGCTGGATTGAAATGCACAGATTCCTTTTTTCCTTTCCATCAATGACAGTCTTTGGCAAATACCACCTAGGGTTCATATAACAAACAGATAATGTGGAAGATGAAACCTTTCAAGTCTTCTCTGTGGAATAAGCCTAGATCTGAAGGCATGATTGTCCGAGGTCATGAGCGCAAATCACACAAGTGAATTCGAGGCTGAATTCATTGTTATTTTCTGTCATCATTATTTTTAGTCACTGACTAAAAATAAACAATTATGCTATTTTCTGCATTGTTTTTTGTGTTTCTCTTCCACTGAAATGCATGGAAAGTAATTATGTAATTAATTACATTAGTTCCAGCCATAGTTCATAGCAAATTGAATAATGTAAGACTCCGAACTGTAGCAACATAGAAACACTGCTGATTGCAATGAACACAAAATGGGACAGAAGTCATTGTCTCCTTACATCCCTAGCTCTTCTGTTGAGATATGACCCCTGTCCCTTAAATAAAAATGAATAAAATGAATAAAAAAATATTAAAGTTGTATACCACCCTTCATTTGTAGATCTTGGGGCAGTTCACAGCATAAATTAGGATACCTTTTGATCATTTCAGTGTCTACATTAATTGGATCTTCACTTTTGATTGTCATTGCTCTCATTCATAATGTCCCTGTTGGTCCATGAAACTTTGCTAGTTTATGTTAATCTTAATTTGGCAATGGTGGAAGAAACCCTGTGACTTGATGATGCCCACTTATCCAAACTCAATTATCCACGTTCTCTGAAATTTCATCAAGACAGCTGTTTATATTCTGTTTCTGCTGCTTCTTTTGCCACATCTCACATCCATTGTTTGCTTCCTGCATCCACATAAAACCTGCTGCAAGTTTTGGATTATCCACCCTTCACATAGGTGGTTGTCTCCTTGGTCTTTTGAGATTGTAGGGCCTCCATACTGACACTGTTTTATTCCTTTGACCTGAAGCACCTCTTGCTGCAAGTCCTGCATTTGTCCATTTTAACTTCATGGCCTTTTCCACTACAACCATAACTTTCTATCTTTGATACATCCAGTTGTTAGTTTTTCTTTCTCAGAATATTGCTCATTCCAGAACATGTGGTGTTATTCTGGAGGTGTTCATACTTCTCTGTGTCATGAGCCGGATCTAGACACATCAAAGAAGTGTTTCAGTTAAATGCGCTGTAAATTTAAACAGAGAAACAGGTAGAGAAAAATTGGGTTCCACAGTGCCATCGGTGTCACAATGTTATCTCGCATATACAATGCATATAAATTGCTTTTTCTTTACCAATCTAGCTGAAGTCCATGGACTGTTTTTCTCCACTATTACACACCACAGGTAATATGCACAGGTAATTGGCCCAGTATACCTGAAGGAGTGTCTCCACCCCCATCGTTCAGCCTGGACACTGAGGTCCAGCTTCGAGGACCTTCTGATGGTTCCCTCACTGCGAGAAGTGAGGTTACAGGGAACCAGGCAAAGGGCCTTCTTGGTAGTGGCGCCTGCCCTGTGGAACGCCCTCCCATCAGATGTCAAAGAAATAACAACTCTCTGACTTTCAGAAGACATCTGGAGGCAGCCCTGTTTAGGGAAGTTTTTAATGTCTAATGTTTTATTGTGTTTTTAGTATTCTGTTGGGAGCCACCCAGAGTGGCTGGGGAGGCCCGGCCAGATGAGCAGGTATAATAAATCATTATTATTATTAATAAACACTTTAGCTTTCAAGTCAAAGGAAATATTTCTATTTTTCATCTTAAAGCTGTGTTTTCCAAAGGCTGCCCAGGATTGTTTTATTTTCCTCCCTATTTCATTTGGTTTTCTGCTCTCAATATGATTTTTTTTATCCTAAATGTTTTCTTCAATGTGCTTTGTTTCTTTGTTTTAAAATAGTATATCATTCTCTTCTTCAAACATTATTTTAATCTTGGCTAGATTCACCTTCATACCTTTTTTATTTTTCACTTTGTTCTTCCAGCATTTCTTGTAGTATTATTTTTTTACTTTTGACTGTTATGGCTATATCATCTGCATATTGTATATGATTTAATAACTTCCATTGGTTCCTTTTTCTAACCACCTCAGCTTTTTAAATACATCTTCCAAGTTGACTGTAGATAGCTTAGGTGATTAGCTATCTCCTTGTCTTACACCTCTTTTTAAGGGTCTTGGACTGGTTTTATGTGGTTACCCCAAGCGAATGGTCTCTTATTCACTGACACTTTTGGTTGTCACAGTGTCCTTCAGCTCCATTGAAGAAATTCAGCTAAAACCCTTTCATGCGGACATTTGTCACTGATGTGGAATAGTTCAAACTGAGAAATTGAACCCAGTTGCTTCAGTGCAAAGTGAGCTTTATGGGCCACTGAGATGATAAGAGAATAAAGAAAGGGGAGTCAAATCTAAAGAATGGAAACAATAAACAAGAGGAAATCTACCCAAAAGGGAAAGGTGAATCTTTTTGTAGGAAATAATTTATGTAGATAGCAGTATATTTCTGTAGAGAAGAGTGATACAGAACTCTAACCTTAATGATTAGAATCACCTGCATCTCAGCACATTAATGGGCCAGTAGGACCTTTAACATGGTCTTTTAAGCCAGTTGGCTTGAAAGAGAGTCCCAGATGGTGTGGAACATGGCCAGCTGGTTGTGGAAAGAATTATGTGGAACTTTTTTTTTTTAAGGCATTTTTTCCAGCACTTGCTAAAACCAGAACTCATCTCCTTGTCTGCAGAAGTCTCTGCTTCTGAAAGACTCAAAGAAACAAGTAACTGTAACTTGCAAATTGTGTCTTGATGTCCAATGCCTGGGACATGAACGTAGCCAGATGTCACTTTACTCTAGGAAAAGTGAAATGTTACTTGATTAAACACTTTTTTAAAAAAGCAGGGAGGATCACATTTTGCTATTCATCAAGGACTTTGAATGAGTGTGAAGAATTATACCAGTGAGTCAAACCAGACATGGAGTTTATGTCTTAGTGGACTCCCCTTCATTAGAGATTTGTAAGCAGAGGTTGGATGGCCATCTATCACGTATGCTCTAGTTGAGATTCCTGCATTTCAGGGGGTTGGACCTTGGGGTACCTTTCAACTCTACAATTCTATGATTCCCTAAGTCTTCAGAAAAAACTGCATGGGTGAAGTGGGTTTTCAACTAGTTCTTCACAAGAAAAAGAAAGAAAGAAAGAAAGAAAGTTTAGGAGAAAGCTTACTATAGAGTCAGACAACTGGGATCCATGCAGTACCTGATCAAATGTTTATCCCAGACACCTGTAACTGGGTGATGACTACGCCCTGAATGATAGAGATCAGCCTTCCAAACAACATAGAAAATACATTAGCTCCTTATAATTCTTGCTGGCCAAGCTGATGCCTGCATACACTTAAGGGATCTCATGGGAACATATGAAGTTACCTTAATACTGATTAATACCAAGTTCAGTCCTCAGCATCTCCAGGTATGGGTGGGAGAGATCCCTGCCTGAAACCCTGGAGAATGACTGCCAGTCAGCTAGATGGACCAAGGGTCTCAATCAGTATAAAGCAGTTTCTGATGTTGATACTGAACTGTTACCAGGCAACCAGATATCCCCATTTCCTCACCTTTCCAGAAGTGAAAATCCGCAAAGTGTAACCAGACCCTTAAGACGAGAATTGTCTAAGTGGCAGCGGCCCAGCTCCCCACCCCTTACACAAATGCTGCCTCAGCAATACTGCAGGGAGGATATGAGAGGAGGAGAACAAGCAAGCAAGTGTTCACCATTTGCATCGTAATTCCTCCCGGTCCCTTAAGCACAATGGAATCTCCTTGTTTAAAAAATTGGGGGGGGGGGCTGAGCCTAGGCTAGCTTTGGCTGCTGCCCAAACAAGTTCATTGTGCAGCTTCGGTTGAAGGAGGCGGGTCAGGCACAAAGAGCTTATTCTTAGCTTAAAGGGAATGCACTTTTTTGCCACTCAAAATTACCAATTTAAGAGTGGGGTTTTTTGTTTTCAGTTTTGGTGTGTGTGCTTTTTAAAAACCCAAAACTGTTTCTTGTATACAGTGTAATTCTTAGCTTTACACAATTGATGAGCTTTCTAAATATTTACTTCAGTGCACAGCTCCTTGAATAGAAGCCCTCGGAGGAAAACCAGAAGGGGGGGAATGCATTCTTCCTATTCCCCCCCACCCTTTCCTCATAATCTTATACTCCAGTGTTATGATCCGGGGTGTTGCAAACTACTTAACGGATTTGGGACACAGGTGCATGAGTGTGTATTTGCATAAAATTTGCATTGCCTGATTTGTATGGATGGGTGCTTCTGGGGAATTAAGACGGGGTGGCTGGGGTCTCCTCCATGCTGCGCTTTGCAGACTAACTCTATGAGCAAGGTTTCTTTGAAAAAATAATGTTGAGAAAAGGTGGGAAAGGGCAAAAGAGTTTGGGGCCACCTCAATAGATTTGGGGTTCATGCCTAAGGACTACGATCTGACAACACTCCAGGTTGTGGTAATCACCGAGGATACTCTTCTGATTGCTTTCCTCCATGAAATCCCATAGCTTTTTATTCCACAAATGTTCTGGTTTATTATTGTTCCACGTTTGATGTGCTGTAGGCCTTCCACACATGGCAATAATGTGGTAGCATTGGGGAAGTGTCGCAGAGCAACTAATATGGCAGAATAAACCCACCACTAATGCACTTTTGTTGTGTCACGGACATGTGCCAGAATACACTTTCAGAAATACACCCGTCCAGAGAGACCAATTTTCCATTTCATTTTGCAGCAGAGATAAAAAGTAACTACTGAATACCTTTAGAGCTACCTTTTTCTGTTACAGTTGCATTGACAGAACCATGGGTGCTGATTATGCCTCCTCCAGTTCCACTTTTAAGTATCACAAATAATCAAAATGGAGAGGAAACAGGGATGAAAATATAACAGCATTTGTCATTCCTAAAGGAGCAATGGCACTGCTGGAACCCACCCCAATTTAAAACTAGAGACACACTTCACTCTTAATCTCAGCAAACTACATACTTTCTCCAGTCATTTCCTGGATTTGCATCCTCCTGTGGAATAAAATAGTTAATATTGCCCCTACTTAAAAACAAGCACATCACTCATAGCCTCAAAAAAAATATGTATTTAGTTCAGGGGAATTTGTATAATCATTAAGTTTCTTCAAGCCAGTTCACACTTTCCTTTAGAGGTAGACTCAAGTTACCCCTAGTAAATTACCTCTCTTAAAAAAATTATTTCTAGCTACTGCTCAGATGTAACTTTGGCCCATAAAATGAGCAATAATCTGTGTACAAATTCCTGTTCATATAAATGGATTCTTTGGGGTGAGAAAGAAGAAACAGTCTGGAAAACAGAGTAGAAAAGCACTGGAGATGAAAACATAATAATGTCAAAAATGAGTCAGGATTTGCTTAATAACTGCTGCACAGAAAATAACTGTGAATCATAGATTTGCAAAACAGACTCTAAACGGTTCTAGAAAACAGAACAGAGGACTTCCAAATCTAGCTGGCAACAATTTATATAGATACATATTCCTTTTATAATAGATCTTAAGCAATCTGTAGAAGAAAGTTGTTTAGGGGTACTTTCATTATCCTACTCATATTGAAATACTGCCCAAACTTAGTTTCACAAAATGTTTAGGGGTATGTGTACCCCTGTGTACCCCCAGAAAAAAAGCACTGAGCAGAACAATAATATTAAGAAAAGCTTTCTAAAGTTTTCTGCCTCACAATGTAATACGACAAGTTAGGCCAGTGCTTTCCAAACTTTCCATGTTGGTGACACACTTTTTAGACATGCATCATTTCATAACACATTGATTCAGTTTGACTAGCAAACTGGAGGTTAAACTAACCCCTTTCTAGCCCTGGAAGGAGCACGGGAAGACTGCTGCTGACACACTAACACTGTTTGGAAATCTCTGAGTTAGACTCTGCTCACACTAGCAGCCTGAAGTTCATTTCCCCTGCGCTGCATTTCCCAGTCGCTTTCTCCCACCACTGTTCACACCAAAGCAGAGGCAGGGGGATGCCTTCGCCCGACGATTTCTTCCCCTGTGGTGTGTGGGCGCACTGCCAACCATGCATGCGCAAAAGCTGCCCGAACTTGTTCAGAGCGCGACAGAACTGTGGCTTCTGTTTTCAAACCGGATGGAACCTGGTTTCAGGAGAAACAGATCCAAAGAGGAGTATTCCCCTTAAGGCTGCGGGACACAGATGGATTGTGGCTAACGTCGTGTGAACCTGGCTTAGATAAAACAGCGGCGGGAGCACGCTGGAGTAAATGGTAATGTGTACAATCCCTTAGATAGCTATAACTTATAACCTTCACCATCTAACATAGTAGACTGCCTGGGGGTCCTGTTTGCCATTGCTGCCAGCCTTTCTACGCGCTTCCCTTTTCTTCTCCATTGGGGTACCCAGCGTGAAGCCCCTCCAGATGCTGTGCTCTACAACACCCACCAGTCCCAACCAGCATGGCCAATGGTTAAGGATGGTGGACATTGTAGTTCTGGAGGCCGTTACATTGGCTACCCCTGCTCTAGGCTGGCAGCTCAAGGGTCGAAGGCCGGACTTGCCTTTGAGGACTCCAGCTGCTGTTTGTAGGGGATACTACAAACAGAGCAGGCACTAACCACTTCTTGTACCTTTCTCTCTCAACTTGAAATGTCACATGCAGCCCAAGCCAATGGGTATGAACTCTATTGACTGCTTATATCCGCATGTGGCTAGGGATGCCTACCTCACACACTAAGCAGGGACAAAACAAATGCTGAAGACTTTCTTTCCACACCTCAACAAGAGAGATGTTGAGTTCCTTCTTGTACGCTAAGGATTTTCGCTTGCCCTTCCCAGTTGCTAAGCTATAGGTTCTGATGATTCTGCGATTCTGTGCACTAACAATGGCAATCAAGAGATCTGTAATAATGAAAAGATACATAATCAGAGCATGTAATCCCCATAGGAAACATTGCCAGCAGTAAAAGCCAACAGTAAAAGCATGGGATATGAAAGTGAAAACTCACAATGGTGGCAAAAATTAACTGAATTGGTCAGAATGATGGGGAAAAGAGTAAAAAAAAAAACAAAAAAACCAGAAGAATTTGGAAGCTTATCGTCTCATTTTATTGAACAGAATTACAAGATGCAATCATTTAACATTTTCTTGCAGCAGAAATGCAACGTAACTATGTTGGAAGAGTATTAGTGATCTATAGCACTGGCTATTGTAATAGATGCTTATAAATGTGGAACCTGTAGTCCATAATTAGGACACTTTCTATCTGAAGAGCAGGTGTATGCAGTTTTTAAAAAATATATGTTGTCTATGTTTGGGGGTGGGTATGTATGTATGAATGTAGACTTTCTCGGTGCAAAATTGGCACACAAGCTCATAATATTTTCAATTTAAATTCAAAGCTGAGGAAATTTTTTGAGGCAACAGAGCTTTCCTCAGAATGCATCCAAGGATTATGAGCCGAGAAAAGTCGTACTCTGAGTCCATTGTTTTTCGTCTTCAACAGCACCGCTACTTACCCCTGCTGCTTCTTGCAATCCTAACACTGCTTTCCTAGGCATAGATTCCACTGAGTCCAGTAAGATGTCCAAGTAAATGTTATTAAGATTGCAGCCATGCTGAATAGTGAAATCACTGAGGTATATTCATGTTGTCATTGTTTCCCTTCTTGTATTTCAGACTAACAAAGGTGACGCTCTAGCCAACCGTGTCCAGAATACATTGGGGAACTACGATGAGATGAAGGACTTTCTGACCAACCATTCCAACCAGAGCCACCTTGTAGGAATCCCACAGAATTCTGTGCCACAAACTCCAGTAGATAAAAACGAACAGACCTTTTTCCCAGAACAAAGGAACCGGATGGTCCCGCCCCACCAAATCACGGGGCACTCCTCAGCTTCGATGCCGCCCCCTGCGGCTATATCGTCCAGTTCAACTTTAGTGCACAGTCACCAGAGCAGCAGGAAATCCAGGACTGACTGGTCCCGTGTCAGCCACAGCTCAAACGGTGGTCAGCCAAGTCAGTCCGGGAGTGCGCAAAGTCGGACAAAGCACAGCTCATCCCACGAACCTCCACAAGGCAGGTATGATGACCGCTATGCTTGCCAAAGTGAGCAGCATAAACCTGGAGGAGGCGATGAAGCCAACGCAACGCCATCCTCATCACACTCGAGGAGGCATACCCATTCAAAATCAGTGGTGGCAGAACACTCTTACAAAGAAAGCAGCCACTCAAAGTCCCCAGTGGATCTCGAGTTTCTGGGCCACGGGCCTGGATCTCCACTCCCATCTACATCCTTGTTGTCAGGAAATAGTGGTCTTTCGACTCAAAATTTCCTGCCAGGCCTCCACTGTAAGGGCAGCATGACTCAGCAAAAGCCCACTGCTTACGTTAGGCCAATGGATGGTCAAGACCAAGTTCCCAACGACTCACCGGAACTGAAGATGCCAATAGAAATTGAAGGCGTTTATGGAAACCAACCCTTTGGGATTCCACTGGAAGGAAAGACCACTGGACCCAGCTCAAAGAATAAACTACCAAAGCTTAACATTCCTCAAGCTAGTGAAGTAAGTCTTGTTTATCTGTTCAGTTGTTTACTTACCTCTTTTGCCTCCAGGGTTTCAGTCCACTACACTTCCTCAGTTTCCTGTTTAACTGACAGTCTCTTACCCCACATCCAGACCATACTTTTAAAGCACTATGATACCAGTTTAAACAGTCATGGATTCCCCTAAAGACTTCTGGGAGCTGTAGTTTTTCCCCCAGGATGCTGAAAGGTGTTAGGGGACCCCCCTCTCCATCTCGCAGACCTACAGTTCCAAAAGTGGTTTAATCGTCAATTCCTCTTCACAGGGAGCTCTGGAAATTATGTGCTTTCAATATCTGTTCACTGCTTGGGCACTGCAGCTGAAAAGAAAGCTCTTTTTGACATGCTGTTTGGGTGTCACACAGATTGTTCTGTCTATTTTTAAGATTACTAGGATGCACGTCCTGTTATGCTTATCCTGCTACCTGACCCCAAGAGTGTGGTCAACATAATCAGGTCTGTGGTTAAAAATAGGAAAGTGTCAGTGGGTTGTGGTTTTGTTGTTTGTTTTGTTATTGTCAATTTAAAATGTTCAGAAGAATTGCACAACATGGATACCTTGGGAAGTATTTATATAGCAAATAGATAGATAGATAGATAGATAGATAGATAGATAGATACATAGATAGATAGATAGATTCCATTTTCTGTAGTGCAAGAAATGTGGAGTGTTGCTGGAAATCTCAATAATCATTGGCTGCAATGGGTAATAGTTCTCATCTTGACAAAACTTGGTTGTAAATATGCTGTGCGTCCAGGTTCATAGAAATTAGTTACCTGGGGAAGAATGAAAACTACAATCCTATCCACATTTACTTAGAAATAATTCCCATTGAATGGAGCTCTAATGACTATATAAAATATAATGACTATAATTTAGTCCCTCTCCATGCTAAGTCACAATCCCTGTTTTGTCCCTTTTGTGGATTACTTATTTAAATAAAATATTTGGGTAAGTAGGGGTGGAGCATCCCATTTTTCTGCTTGAGGTGAAATGGGAAAGCCTGCCTTGCCACTGCAACCCACCTCACCACCTCTGCCTCTGGTTTTTTTGTGAGATCACACTGGTTTCCAGCTAGATCTCACATGCCCTGCAGGATCTTGTGCAAGTTTAGTAAGAGCTTGCTGGAAATTGATGTGATCTCACTCAAAATCAGTGCTGATGCTGATGCCACTTCTCTGCCAGCAGGAAAGGTGGCAGGACAGCCAGGGCACCCACAGGGGCACTGCCTTGCTTGTTTCTGCCACCTAAGGCAGCTGCCTAACCCTGCCTAACCCTGCCTAATGGCTACACCGGCCCTGGGGATAAGGCTTCTTTTTTGTGTGTGTTAAAGAATTTATTCATTTTCAATCTTCCAATTAATGACAAGTTAAATCAAATAAATCAAAATTACAATAATAACAATACACCAATTATGTATTCCAATTATAAAAAAAAATTATTGGGACTTCCCATGTTCCAGAAGTCTGGAGACAATCATCCTCATTCATGTCTCTGCATTTTCAGTATTTTTCAAATTCAGCACTAATATTATCCATCCTTCTTCTCAGTCTAATCAGCCGTTGTTTCTGTGGCTCACATCTAGTAACAAAGTTTTTGTGCAGTTAACCCACAAGAGGCGGGGGGGTTGGGGGGGAAGGCTTCTAATGGTGCCATTCTTCAGGGATCAACTCCTTTAGATTGCACTCACGGTCCCTTCAAACACTACAATCCTATGATTCTATTTCATGTGGTCTCTAGAAGCAAGCTCCAGACTGAGAAACATGCCTGTCTTGTATCTAGTACATGTGCATGTAAGTGCATGCACATGAAAACCAAGGCACCATGCAGTGCTTACCCAGCTGTTTCTCCAAATGCAGCTGAGGCTGCATGAGAGCTGAAGGCACCAAGTTGACTAGCCCTGCTTTAAATCCAGACCAAATTTCAGAAGCTAATAGGTAGCTGCTCAGCTATCCCAGTGAGTCAGGGCTCAGCCTTGCCCTGGGAAGTCCTTTGCAAAATCAACATAACTCATTCAAGTTACATAACAGGACTTCCCTGTAGCAGTTGGGTTACCCTGATGTAGAACTTGACTCTCTGTAACATTGTATATGCTTAGTCTTGAATACAAGCAGCTCTCCAAAGTGAATCTGCATGGTATAAATATTGTACTATTATTTTACATTTAAGAGGTGTTAAGCAAGGTGGTGTCTACCACTGCATACTTCCAAACAGATTGAAATAGCAGGACTTGCCTAGCAGAGTTCCCAAAATACCTATTTCGTGGCTGGTAATATTTTTTACACCCTGAATAAGTGATGATACATTCTTAGGGTGCTTTATTGCGAAAGGTCGGCTTCCCTTACCCACATTCGAACCCCGCCCTTTGGAATAATTGTTTGGGGACAATAATTTGTTTGACTTCTTTAAAGAAGGAGGGAAATCCCTTGCCATTATTTATTAACATTCCAAAGAGCAACAAAGACTGATGTGTTTTGCAGGAGAGCTTGGAATAATTTTCTGGGAACAGCATCTGAAAACCGTAAAAAGACCTATTTATATGAAGTGGAAGCTGAGGGTTCCTTGCAGATGGTGTTTTATTAGAAAAATGTATTTGTTAATAAACGTAGCTGTGTACAAGATTGCTTTACAGATGTTTCTGTTTATTTTTACCTTTGGTTAAAAATCTGCTGGAGTAGTCTGTTGCAATTTGTCACCAGTATTGTTTGGCAAGGAAATAATTGCACGGAAAGAAAATAATGAGGTTGCAAAGGCAAATAAATGTGTTCACTCTTGCTGTCTATTAAAAACAAAAACATATCCATTAACAAATTTGAAAGAGAATATTTAAGTCAGAGAGCAGTTGAAGGGGTGTGTGTTTAAAAAATAGTGTAATGGGGGGGCTGCTTATGACCAAAGGCCTTGGATCCAAAGAACTGCGAGTAGAAGCCAAAAATGTTTTAGCCTTGGTTTCAGAGCATGAGTAAGAGGAAGGTTCAGTTTAGCACTAGAGCATCTGTCTTATTAAGACCAGAGTATAGAGGCAGAGCTTCATCTTTGTATGCAGAATATCCCAGGTTCAAATCCCTGGCATTTCCAAGTAAGCACTGGGAAAGTACCAGTCTGAAACCCTGGAGAGACCCACCCAGTCAGTGTGGACAAAACTGAGCTAGATGTACCCATGAGTCTGATGGCTTCCAACATTCATCTTGAAATCAGCCCTTTATTCAGAATCATGAGGAATGGAATCCTGCTTAATTAAGGGGGGAACCATAGCTCAGTGACAAGAGTTCTGACTTTGCATGGAGAAGGTCTCAGGTTCAATTGCCATCACCTCTAGGTTGGGACTGAAACCTGGAGAGCCTTGGTCACTCAGTGTGGACAATACTGAACTACAAGAACCAGTGCTCTGACTTGGTATTACACAGCTTACTGTATTCTTGAGATTTCTCACAGTGGAACATTTTGAATAGTTCTCTTATCACTAGGGATATTGGAAAATTCCAATGAAAACAGATGCAGGGGCAGAAATTGCTGGTGCTCGCTTGCTCATCTCATGTCTAGAACAGAAATCAATATTAGTGAATTTGGTTTGCCATGAGTGCTGTTGGCTGTTGCTGTTGCTTTCATTCTGCAAACAATGAGCAATTGGTTATAGTTCCCAGTCCACATTTGCATTATGTTTCCTTTGCACTGAAATTAATGGGGTGGAGTAACATAATGGCAATGTCACTTATGCAATTTATGTAATTAATTATGTAAGTTACATGATTTCAGCACAGCAGACAGTGAGATGAATAAAGTAGCTTTTAGTGGAATATGAACTGCTGTGGAATGGAAACAGTGTGGCATGCAACAGATGCAGCACCGGGTGATTTAGGATGGATTGGGCAGCCCCCCCCCCAGTGCCGAGCTGAGGGGATGCATCCTCCTCTTCCTCCACCGCATACCTATATTTATACTCATTTAGATAAGGGACGCGGGTGGCGCTGTGGTTTAAACCACAGAGCCTAGGACTTGCCGATCAGAAGCTTCAAATCCCCGTGACAGGGTGAGCTCCCGTTGCTCGGTCCCTGCTCCTGCCAACCTAGCAGTTCGAAAGCATGTCAAAGTGCATGTAGATAAATAGGTACCGCTCTGGCGGGAAGGTACACGGCATTTCCGTGCACTGCTCTGGTTCGCCAGAAGCGGCTTAGTCATGCTGGCCACATGACCCGGAAGCTGGCCAATAAAGCGAGATGAGCGCCGCAACCCCAGAGTCGGCCACAACTGGACCTAATGGTCAGGGGTCCCTTTACCTTTACCTTACTCATTTAGATGGGCAATTGAGTTGCTGCAACTAGGACATAGCACACTTGAGAACATGTGCAGAACGGAAAGTGAAAGGGAGGGAGGGTACCAAATTTTGTCCCAATTGGGTATGTGTGCCAAATTTTGTCCTCACTCAGGGTGCCATATTACCAAAGTCTGCCTTCTGACAAATACAAGGTGGAACAGAAAACGATTCCGCCTTATATCCCTATATATCACTCAATGATTTGCCTAGGAAATACCTTTGGAACTTTCCATTCCTCCTTAGCTAGCCGTTCCTTGTTCTCTCTGGAAACTGTGGCAGTTTGTAGATCATTATATATCGGAAGCAATCAGGCCCCTGAAAGTGGGAAGTGAAAAGTCCCATAACGCTTCTGACACCACCCACCTAAGCCGTGAAACATGGAAGATTTCTCTTGCCATTCCTTCTGAGAAAATGTTTTGACGGGTTCAGTGTACAGTGAAATGATAAGCTTTTGTTATATGTGTTTCAAATCACCCCCTTATCACAGGATATATTGATTAGCTTAGTACTTCCTCAGCAAGCTATAAAAGAGAGAGAGGGAAAAGGAAGGGCCTGCACTCTTTCTGGATTAAAGAGCACAAAAAAATTGACAGGTAGATAACCATATTGATTCAGCTCGAGCAGTAAATTCAAGGAGCTTTGTATATGACTTATAAAACTTTAC